TTATTGCAGCTACTTTTGCTTCAGATGGAGTTCTATAACCTTGTCCTATTTTATGTCCTAGATAAACAACTTGAGCTTTTCCCCACTCACATTTCTTTGCCTTTATTGTAAGACCTGCCTTATGCATAGCTGTAAACACAAGTCGCAAATGTTTCAAATGATCTTTCCATGTCCCGATCTGGATGTGGAAGAGTATATACAACCAACATCACAGTATTGGTATTACAATAGACAAATCGCATATACTGTGATATTGTTTGCATAGTTGCAATGATGACGTCAAGTATGATAATTAGGCCCCGTTCACATGACAATGATCTGACGCGCGTTTTTTAAACTGAATATATAACTGTTATAATTAACTGTATATGAGAAGTGTTCTGGGTGTGAGGTATTAGAAGTGGAGGGCTAGAGATAAGTAGGAATGGAGGGGCCTGATAAAGTAGGCCAAGGCCCGACATCAGGCTGTCGCGCCATAGAAGAAGATCATTGCAGTATTATTACAATTTACTTCTTTTCTTTTTTAAATATTCATTGATGTCAATGAAAAAGTAAAAGTAACATAAAGATTTACTTACGAAACTTATATTTATACCATAAAACTTACAAATACAAAAAAAAACATAATTTTCGTTTACATATCCTCTGTATCTGAATCAGAATCCGCCTCAATAGCTTGTTTTGCAGACTTCTCAGCTTCTGCAAACACATTATCGGGAACTCGTTCGTGTCTGCCTTGAGTTTCTTCTGAAACCCATGATAATTCCAGTTCAAAATTTTTATCCTTCAACTCATCATGCACTAAATAAATACTGAAACCAAAACAATATGATTAACAAACACAATACCCAAAGAAGATAAATTTACATCCTAGCAGCTTCTTTTACTAATTCTCGAGTTGTCATATTCCCTAACTTTAGTTTCTCAACTTCAGTTTTTGCTGATTGTTTAGCTTTTCCAATAGCACATCCATAATAACCCTTTTAATAAAAAAGAATTCATTAAAAACGCCAATTTTTTATTTTTTGTTTTGTTCTTACATATGAAACTCCTGATGGGTCAATCATATACATTTGGGGGCCATCTAATCTATCCCATGATCCCATAATCACACTACATCCATAAGGTCTTACAGCGCTGTATAATGTATATGCATGCATATACATACTCACACGTTCGTTTAAATATTTTAAAGGGACATTAACATTGTATTGAGCTCGATAATTAGAAGCCTCCTTCCGTGCGATCTCAACAATCTGCCTAGCATCAGCAATAAGCCCAGAAACGGCCATTCCAACATGCGAATCAACATTAAAAACGCGTTTGTTGGCACCCGCTTCGTAAAGTTTTGAAGTCACCAATTTTTCCACCGCGAAAACAACCCCATCCTTTCCACGGAGACCAATCGCAGTTCCGCTATTTTCCACAGCTTTAACTGCGTATTCCACTTGGAAAACGCGACCGTCCGGCGAAAATTGCGAAGCCGAAAGATCGTACTGCAAAAAAGTGAGGTTAGATATAGTGTTGTTTGGAATTAATAAGGATTTAAGAGAATTCTTTTAGACTTACTCCTGTTCCAATTGAACTCATTTTTGGGGTAAACTATAAAAGTGTTGTTTTATGCAAGTTTAAAAATGATTTGTAAGAGAATGATTTGCAATTTGGTTATGTACCGCTGTTTGACAAACGAATCTAGGAATTTTTGGTTTTAAAGGTTGGTAACAAATTTTAAATATTTCTATTTTATCAAAAAACATGGTTATATATTAAAGTGTTATTACTATTTTAATTAATTGTACCTAAAACTTTATTATTATTAATCAAATTAATGATTTTATTAAAATGTTGTGCTTTATTTTGAAAGTATTTTTTACGATTTTAATGTTGGTACTTGGTGGTAGTAAATCAAATTTAAAATGATCCACTTTATTATTAAACATTAATTATAAATAAATGAATTAAATTATAAACATTTCGGTACAATAGGCATACACATATTATAAAAAGCTTTTTTATCCCAAAATTCAACACCTTTCCACCCACAATAACCCTTATTAATAATTTTATCTAAATCTTCACCACCAACATAATGAGGATCTAAAATCAAAAACTTTACGTTTCCATTATCATGGTTGCAATCAACCCCCAAAATAGTATGTGCCAAAACACCTCCTCCTTCACAAAAATAAATACAAAATCAAATTAATTTAATTATAATTTAAAAATGAATTTTACCAATCATTACTGGGGATCCATTCGTTTTAAAATGAGTTAACAACTCTAAACCAATTGATCCCATTTCTGCTCCAGAACTGCATTGAAGGACTTTACTGGTTATTCCTAAAAGTGTTTCTAAGACAAATCCCACTTCCATTGAACCAATCCATTGTTTTGAGCCAATAAAATTTGGTGGTTTATCTCCAATATCTACTAAACACTTTTGGATGTCTCGATGGGTTGGAACTAACTTAGTAGAGTATCCTTGATGATTAAACCAGGAAGCGAGGGTTTGCAACGATCTATAAGCGCAACCCCAACCGTTATCATCCATTTTTTGTTGAGAATAATGATAATATTCGTAGTTTCCTCGAACTACAGCGATTTCACCACCTAAAAAAAAATTATTTTAAAAAGGTAATATTAAATTAATAAAAAATTTAAGGTAATAAAAGAGGGTGAAGTGGGTAAGAAATTTATTATTTGATTTTTTTTGGTTGTGGTTAAAAAAGACGGGATATTAAGGTGATGGGTAAACTAAGGTCCATTTTAAAAGAGTTTTTCTATTATCTATAAAGAAGAAAAAAATTAAACTATATTTAACGTTTAAAAAAAAACCCAAAAGCCCCTTTGAATAAAATTACCATTGTTTGTGTTTTTGACGCTTAAATGAGGACTAATTAACGGAGAATCATCTTCTTGGTCGGAATTAAAAATGTATCGATTTCCTCGTCTGAAAAATGGCATTGTTAACGGTAATAATAATTTATCTTGAATAATTTTTCGTTCTTGTTCTAAAAAAATTCGTCAATCATAATAATAATTAATCATTATTTTTGTAAATTGTACCTAATGATTCATCAGTCTCTCCTTTTCCAAAAACTCTAGTAACAAAATGTCCACATAAATTAGGATAGAAATGATAAATTTCCGGGTAGCTAATTTTGGAAAAGTCTCCTCCACTTTGTTGGAAATATTTTAAAATGGTTCTTTGTAATAAAAATAAATTTCTAAAACAACTAGCGACTAAAATTTCATACAAATTTTTTACGGGGAGTTTTTTGTGAACCATTGAAAGTGCGTCCAAGTTCAAAACCATGTTTAAAAGTTCAAATTTTTCTAAAAAAAAAAGTATATAAATACTCAAAAATACAGATATTAAAAAAGAAATAATTCAAAATTCCAAACCATGTTAATTTAATCTAATTTATTAACAAAAAATGAATTTTAATAAACTTAAAAAAGACTGGAATAATCATAATCCATACTTCAGCAAAAATTTAAGAATTATACTGGTGAAAAACCAAACTTAAGGGAATAGTCGGGAATACTCTGGTCAGAAGGTTAATTTGCAAGAAAAAGTCTAAAATTGCAATAGTTATAAATTAGACTTTAGCAAAAAACAGGAATTACATTGTTCAAAGTCTACATGAAGTCTGAAATTACTGTTCAGAGAAAACAAAAAATTGATTATAAACCAAACATGATTTTTCATGGTAATACTTATGTGTTCAATAAAAGAATGCGAAGAATATCAACAAGAAACCAATGGACTTGTCTTGTTATTGCACACGACAGGAAATCACGAATACGGAAACTTTGCCAATGCAGGATAAGCACAAAAGCAAAGTAACAGCTGCAGAAATGAGGTACCGGGTGGTAAAAGATCCGTATAGATAATAAAAAGATCTACTGCTTCTAAAAAACTAAATACTGCTTTCCGAAGACTAGATACTGCTCTGGAAGATTAAATACTGCTTTCTGAAGACTAGATACTGCCGACAGGTCTAAATATAGCATCTGGAACACTAAATACTGCTTTCTAAAGACTAAAATTGCTTTGTGGAGAGTAAATACTGCTTTCTGAAGACTAAATACTGCTGACAGGTCTAAGTACTGCAAAAGAGAGATAAGATATTGTTGGAGAAAACATACATAACGTTGGCAGAAGACTAGATACTGCTTCTAGAAGGCTAAATACTCCTTTCTGAAGACTAGATACTTCCGACAGGTCCAAATACAACGTCTGGAACACTAAATACTGCCTTCTAAAGACTAAAATTGCTTTGTGGAGACTAAATACTGCTTTCTGAAGACTAGCTACTGCTGACAGGTCTAAATACTGCAAAAGAAAGATAAGATATTGTTGGAGAAAACATTAAAAAGGGCACCCCTTGCACCCCCCGGTAGCGCCGCCTCTGGTCATTAAAACAGATAGCAACTCGTCACCAACATAAACCTTTCGGCAGCGAGCGTATTTCAATGTGACCGAACAATTCTCTCAACTCGTTGGTTCCGATTCAGTTTGCTGTATTAATTGCAACTTGAAGAGATTTCTGTAATGTACAACTCAGATTATTAGGAACTTAATGTTATTTGATGGATACCGCAGTGTATTACTAACATTTTAGTACATTTTGTTTTAAATAGTTAAATAACCACGGTAGCGCCCAACCACGGTAAGTACCCAATCTGTTGCTGCTGATATTATATTTGATAAAGGAATTGGTTGAAGTAATCCTTTAAAATATTAAGTATTGATTCGCTTTTAGTGTCGATATTCAAAGTTTTTGCGAACAGCACTTCTTCGTTCATAATAAAACTAACATATACTAATAATAATGCTTTATTGCTATGTAAGGTTGACTCATCCAGCTATATAGAGCTATATTTTATTATTTCATCAATACGCCTTTGAACTGTCTTGTTGCTTAAAGGAATTATTTTAATGATGTCAGATGCAGGTTTGTGACAGTTCTTAAAACTTCTTCAACGGCTGACAAAATCAACTGTTCTGGGATAGTATGCGTTTTTCCTGAGTTTGCTATAAGTAGCGAAATATTGTAAGGCGCTCGCAAAGAATCATCATTTCTTTCTGCCGTCGGAGTGCAAGGACGAAATCAGGGCCCAAAATCCACCTTTTGTGGGCCCGAGGCGCTCTATATTGTTGGGACCCAAAAAAAGTCTAATATTACTCTCCAGAATGTTCGACCATATAATTGTCAAGAAGACAAATGCAAAATTTTCTGTTTTTAAGAAGAGTTGAAGCTTCACTCTTACTTATGGGTTTTTCATATTCGTCATTTACAAATGTTGACAGTATATCACTAATAGTTTTGTAATTTACAAATAAAATATAAACAGAATCATGGCGTGCAGACCAACGGGTATCACTTAAACGCTTGGGAGTTGGGTTAACTTTTTGTGCTAATTTTTACCATCTATGTGTAGACGATGAAAAAAATTATAAATACCTTGCACTATATTAAAGTAATTAGCAACTTCTAAACACGACTTACATGCAAAATTGAACACTAAATTTAATGAGTGGTTAGTACAGGATACATAAATAGCGGCATAAATATTTTCCAGACATGTTGGCTGCATTGTCATAGCTCTGTCCACGACAGTTTTGAATGCTGAGGCTTAATTGTTCTAATTTACTTAAAGCTGTCTCTTGTTAACAATCCGCAGTTTAATGAATCCTACGAATCGTTCTGATATTTGTCCCTCATGTTCGTATCTTAAAATTAGACTAAGTTGATCACAATGACTTACGTCTGGTGTTGAATCGACGATAATGCCAAAGTATTTGGCTGCCTTAATTTCACCACTGAATGTACTTAACATTCTATCTCTAATTATTTCAATAAATTCATCACATATGTGATGAGACAAATAACTAACAGAACCTCTTCCCTGATTTATAAATCGACGTAAATGTTCTGCCAAAAAATCGTCGAAGTTGGCAAGGTAAACTAGGCAACTCAAATAATTGCCTTTGAAACGGCTACCTATATTTTCGCACGAACCTCTAAATGGTAATCGTTGTCTTGAAAGAAACTTTACAGTGGCTAGTATACGTTCTACGACTTTTCGCCCAAGGTTTATATATTAAAGGTTGTCTAAGTACCTATGCTGCAATACTTTGATTTAGTTTGTGGGCGAGGGGCAAGAGCAGGAGTGTTTCGTGACGTAAGCGATCACGGATTGCGCACGCAACCTCATGGCTATGTGGTGCTCCGTGCATTTGTTTAATTTGAATTGCTTGGCGGTATTATTTTCCACATGTGACGTAATGCGCAGTATGATTGCGTACGAATCTAGACAACCTCTTATATATAAACCTTGCTTTTCGCCAGTAGAGTTCTTCATTTTGAATTTGATTCTTTAATTTCATATCTAATGATGTTCGATGAGCAAATCTCACCATTGACTTTATATGCACTTTAGATTCTTCATGACTTTTTAAAGTCTTCGTAAGACTTTTCCAGTCAGAGTTTGAACTCGCATATAAGAGTCTCGCAGTGAAACAGTATTTTATTTTCATTTGTTTCTTCATAAATCAATAAATCAATTAACAAGTACAATCAAACGGGGTTACTTGAAACATTTTTTTAGCAGTTTTAAAAGATAAAAACCTTTACATATTTAATTTTCTTGATTTTCTTATCGGACGAAAGCCTATGCAATATCAAACCAGAACCGGGCCCCTGTGGGTGCAGGGCCTTGAGCCACGCGCCTCAAGCGCCTACTGGTTAATCCAGCCTTGGACGGAATGAAGCCAAATTTCAAATATATACAAAACCTGTAGCGTTAAAAACCGAAAAGAAGTTAAAATGACGCAATTGAATGCCATGTTTTTGAAAAATGCCGAAAGAAGAAACATCGCGACACTGACAACGCTCAAGAATACTCAAAAATAGCTTTTCCCATAATCAACAACCGTGTTTAAACTGTTGGGTTGCGGCTAGACATGTATGTTTAACCGTGGCTAGACATTAAACCTTTATCAACAACCTTGGTATATAAAAAATACAATCATGCATTCATTTATCAATATACTAATATAAATACTATACCAATATACAACAATATACTATACCCTAACTGTGTTTTAGTTGGAATAAATCAATGAATCAGTCAATACTGAAATTATGAACCGATCACTTCCTCGTATTGTCTCATCTACACACTGAACAAAATGATCAGTTGCCACTCTTCCGCCCTACGTCCTGCTTCAAAGTTACATACACCATTGCCGCACCTTGCTGTCACTCATGAATGTTTTTCCGTATACATTACTCGTTCATCGATGATTTTCGGCTGCAATGCACCCCTCAACATGCAGAAATCGAATGACGGCATACACTTCACACTTTGCGGGAGACTCTATTGTTCGAGGCATGTTTACTACTCACTCAGAATCGACAACTGCGACCTGACGCGATTAATGGGCATACTAAAGACACTCCGTAATACAACTACGCACAGTGAAAAAAATAGCCCTCATAGCTTCAACTACACATTAAACAAAAGGTGACCACCATGCAGCAATACTTTTTGAACGAGATGGCAACATTTCCTCCAATACAAATTGTATGCCAACAGTAATTTTTACTATCTAACTCCTTTAGCAGTGTTGCATTTAAAGTTTCCAACAATTTCTGGACGAACACAACAAGGAGTTTTTGGCTATATTCCGCACCTTCCTTGACGTAGCCCATTGAGAGAAACGGAACTCCTATCAGATATATACGTGTTGTATATACTGCAAGTAGGTCCCCAATTGAATACAATGAAGAACCAAAATGTCAAATTAACAGAGTAAGAGCTCCTGCTTTAAGAATTAAAATTCGATGTCGGACACGTTTTAGAAGCACAGAATGAACTTTCAGTATTCTTGTCGAGAGAACCTATTCTTGAAACGACCTTGATTGATCTAGGTTCTGATATTGACCGGATGTTCTCATCATCCATCTGGTAATGATCTAGGACACCATCTGATATTAACGCCCTACTGTGAAAAACTATAGCCTAACGACGACCATCTGGTCATAACGCAGCAAATGTACTTTCTGAATGTGGACCATGTCGAATCGTTCACAGAGAATTCTGTAGTAAAAAATGGCAAAGGCTATCCTGAAGAAGCAGACCAGTAGTTAGAGTTGGACGAAGAAATGAGACGACATACACTTTTGTTCTTATGCTAAACACACTAATTCCAAGCTGCTTTGGAAGCCCTACTTGGTCTCACACCACTCCATTTATGTATACAAAAGGAGGCAGCTTCAAGTGCCTTATTGTAAACAGTTTCTTCAATCAAGCTGATGCAGGGTAACCTCAGAGGACACCTCGAAATCCTCATGGACCCATGTCTAAATCACTTGATTGAAATCAAAATGCACCTTATACCGACAGAATACAATTTCAACCAGCCGTATAAGGTCATATTTAGAAGCAGGGATGATTGGGCAAAGGGTGGGCCTCAACTAAAAAGAGGAGCCCTAGCCTGGTACACCAATGCTTCAAAGACAGTTAGATCCGGAGTAGGCATGGGCACCAGTGGTCCACATAGCCACATTAAATTGCCCCTCAGCTCGGACATAACCATTCAAGCAGAAGTTCTTGCTATAAACTTCTGAACCGCTTTGAACCTACAAAAGGGACAGAAAGGTGCATCCATAAACATTTTTACAGACAGTTAGGCCGCCTTAAAGGCAATTAATTCAGCCTACACGATCAGTGAGTGTACCAGCATGTCACTCTATGGTGGATTCCAGGTTACAGCAACATTCAGGACAATGAGGACTTTGCAACGACGCAAATCGCAAATGTGTAATTGCGTCGCCAGAGGCCGTCTAAGACACAAAATTTTCGATAAAGCTCTCTTGACACCTACCAACATATAAGTACAAGACCTTGAGGCAATAGTAAGGTTCACCTACATCTGCCCTAAACTTTTGGAGGGCTAAAGTTGCAATAGATCTTATAGGTGGCGGTAACGAGGGGGGTTGTTCCCCTCAGCCAGACAGCAATAATCATGATAACACATTAAACGCCATGATAAGCATGATTACTTTATGCCTGTGATCTATAGGGCCAATTGAAGAATACATTCTTTAAGAAACAAAGTTAATAAATAACTTTTCCAATGTGCTTTTCTACCTTATACAAAGTCCAGTGAATATCAGTTTTAATAACATATGAAGCAAAATTAATAGCTAAAATTAGTTTATGTTGTTGCCATCTATAGTCTATGTGGTCTTTGGTATATTTCCAGATTGTCTGAAAATCAAACGAATTTGGACCATCATGGATTTTAATGGAGATAGAACAGTTGAGTAAGATGTTTTCTTTTTAGCTTGATGCAGGAATTAATGATAATCAATATACAATTAATTATTTTTTGTTTCCAACACTTTTGTGTAATTTCTCTGCATTGTCTAAGCTTAATTTGGTCAAAAAGTGATCAACATTTTATGCTTTGGAATTCTTTTAAGACATCTTACATATTTAATAAAGAAACATACTTTTATCAACCTGTACAATGGGTGCATGAACTCTTCTTTGTTCCCCATTTAAATTAGAAGTAACCTTATTAAACATAGTTGCTTCAATTACATCCTAAAATCCACAAAGACAAAATTGATTAAAAACCCAAACACCAAAATCAATTGAAACAAATCTTACCAGTTTCAAAACATCATTTAGATTTTTACTTTTACCTTTACTCTCATCTAGAGATGTTAAATACAATTCTTCAACATTACATTCAGTAAAACTACCTGTAACCCCATTTTCAGCATCATTTCCCAAAATGAACACGTTTGGTTTTGAAAAATAAAAAGCAACCATTCCATTATCAATGTTTCTTTTTAATTCTACTAAACCCTCTTTAATACTATCTTCATCTGGATTACACACCAATGGTAATTGGGCCCTCAATCTTATGTGCATAAAATCGGAATAAAGTTCGTAATCTTTTAAAATTTCAACTTTAGCTGCTTCCAATTGATCGTTTACGATAAAAAATGATTCTATTTTATTATTTTGATCAATAATAATTTTAATATACAATGGATTATCCGTTACTTGAATATTGGTCAATGTATTCTCAAGTTTTTTATGGTCAAATCCTCCTAGTGAGGTGTTAACTTCGAAAACACCACACAGTTCAATTTCTGTAGGAAAATATGGGGCTGTACCAGACGTTTGATCGTTATTATTAACAAATAAAGAGGTTATACATTGAGTTTTATTGTAAAATACTCCGTATAAGTTTCCTAAGCATGGTTCTTTTACAGCTGTTAGTCTCTAGAGAAGAAAAATTAAAAAACATATGTTTGTAAAAGTCAAGGTTATGTTTATAACAATTTTTTGATTTTCGTTTAAATTTTTAATTAGAGATTTAGAATACTTACAGCTACGACTGCTTCTGATAGTTTTATCAATGGTTTCATTTTTTGTTACGATGTTTACTTGAATAATTTAAAAGCTGTGAGCGTTTTTGAAGTTTTTTTTGACATAACCTAGAAATTAAATTGGGTGTATTAAAATTAAAAAAAGTAATTGATTTTATCGATTTAATTAGTAGTGTCGATTTAATCCTCAGAAGTAAAATCTCAAATGTTTAAATTTACATTGTAAAAAGAAAATTAAAAAAGAAATTTGTATATCGTAAGTTTCTTTTTCACCAAAATCAGATTGGTAATAGTTCTCCAACATAACCTCGAAAAGTGTCTTATTTAAAATTTAATTCTATTTTTTCGAAATTTTATAAAAATACATAAATAATGGTTCAATTGGTAAATTTAAGCCTTCTTAAAACATTCAATATGTACAACTTACCAAAAAGTCTTTAAAAAATCATCACCTTTGTAACTAGGTTAAATATAACCTAATTGTTTTCACATTTTAAAAAATGTTCATTTCTTTTTATATACACTAATATATACAATTTGTAAAAAAAGACTTAGTAATTATCATTATGTATAAAAAAGGGAGGAGATTTAAACTTAAAAAATAAAAAAGTCAGTTCATTTTTTTTAAATACACTAATTTTTATGAAACATCATACATTCTTCTTTTCCACCTTCGTTTCTTCAAAATTCTTTCTTCACCAAATCAATTCTTTCCATCCTAAAAAACTAGTCTTGCTAAAAAGATTTCGGCAGTTTTAAACTAATTCGTATTTAATACCAAAACTAGACAGAAATCTACTTCTTAAACATCCTAGCCACATACACATAAAAAAGAATATTTCTAATTCTTCCTCTTTTTTTTTACTTAGTTATTCAAGATAATTAATACCTATAACATATAATAGATATAAACGAACATTACTTAAAAACTAACTCAATCTTCTTTGACTTCTCATTATTATTTGTTTAAATTCAAAACTCTATTTTTTATGTAATTTTTGTATTTTCAAAAGTTGTTAATGTCTGGAACGATGAGATTCGTCCCTTCGATCGCGTTCCCTTTCACGATCCCTTTCCCGCTCTGGATCACCTCTTCTTGTTGAGTCTCTTTCCCGATAACGATCGTCATAATAGCCTCCTCCACCACCACCGCGTGATTTACTTGATGGTTCTGCATTTGGATCAACAACTTCCGGTGGTGATTTATTTCGCGATCGTGATACTCGCGAAGAACTAAAAAAAATTAAAAATAGGTTTATATAACTATTTATATATCAATATTAATTGTATTAATTGGTAGGAAAATGCAACGATATTTATTTCCTGTTATGTAGAGTAAGTCAAAATATTTCCACTAAATTTATTTGTTTTCGATTTTCATGTTCTCTGTTTCAGATAATCTATGTGTACCTTGAAAACGATACAACATGCAGAGTTACTGATATAAATTTAGCGGACTTCTGGAGATTTGCTCACAAGAACCATGAAGAACCACAAAGAACCTTGGATCATACCAGAGTTATAAAACTATTAGGACAAGATAAATATAAATCTAACAAGACATTAAACAACTACATCAACCAGTTTAGCTAGAAATGGAAAGTCACCTATATAGAACCCAAAAATAAATCTGCAAAATGCTCTGAGCAACAAAAAGGGAAATAAACGAAACACTGGCTCAAAATAACACATTAGCGGACAAAGAAAAGGTGACGCCGAAGATTAAAGACTAGAGAAAGCAGATGTCTATGACATAATACAATTCACAACGAAAGAAGTGGCGCTACAGATGAAACAACTAAAACAAGGCGAATCACCAGGTTCAACCAACATTACCAATCAGTTGCTGAAGTGGGGAGGAGAAAGCAGAATAACTCATAGAGCTGTATAATAAAATACTGCAGGACGTAGAAACTCCAGAGACTCTTTAAGAAAGGAACATCCTCAGGCCTAGAGAATTACCAAGGAATTTCCCTCCTAGACACATCCATGAAGCTATTTTTCCATGTCCTGGAACACCACATTCTGAAGAACATAACAAGTTAGGAACATAATGTTTTGAAACAAACAGGTTAACAGTCGACGCGATCTTCGTAGAATATAACAAACCAGCATACATACTTATGTTTTATAGTTTTAACGAAAGTGTTCGACAGGATACGACTGCAGAAAAATAATTATAAGAGTTGAGGCGTAAGGGCGTAAGTAATAATCAGACAACTTAATATAAAAAATATCACCACAATTAAAACAAACAGTCAAGATCAGGTATCATACAAAAAGTGCGTAAGACAAAACACCGATATAAGATGAGGGAAGATTAAGTAAAAATCATATGCTACGCCGACGACGTAACATTAATTGCAGACACAGAGGATGGACTGAGTAGAGGATGTATAGGTTTGTTGTATTAGGTGGCAGTTTCCACTAAAGGCATTTAGCGGATGACTGGACATCGTCCATTCAATGTATATTTGAGAAGGTATCGACTGAAGGAGACGAACGGGATGTGTGTGTGAGTGTGGGGTGAGTGAAGACACCCTGCAACATATCTTGCAGGAGCCTCCGGATGGGAGGAGAATAGAGAGGAGATGAATGGAACTGGTTGCCGGTAGGAATTGTGTTTGGTTATGATGAGGAGTATAGCTGGTTGGTAGGAGGAAGCAGTGAGCGGCCTTGGGGGTGGTTAAATGTCTTAGCATCCACATGGTGACGTTAAGATTATTATAAAAGGAAGGATGACTGGCAGACTTTCAGAATATAGCGGAAAAAGCAATCTTAGAACTAACTGTTAGCAAAATAAAAACTATGGTAATAGTTAGAAAACTGTGCAGATGAAAATTAGAAGTGAACAGCCACATAATAGACCAAGTAACTGACTACTCTTATTTAAACATAAGTTTGAAAAACTCAAGAACAACGTGAGAGCGTCAACAAACCAGCCAGAATAAGGAGAGCACTAAGAACTAAGGTCCGTCCCAACGAGATGTGTACCACTGGAAAATATAGTTAACAATATAGTTATAGAAAACATAGTTTAACATAAACGTCTGATATTAACGGCACAGCCTGCGTGCTGGAACTGCCATTTCACTGAAATCAACTTAATATTTCTTAATACAGACTTTCATTCGATTAGATTTACCATTATAACCTTGCTCTCTTATTCTTCCTTATTCGAACCTAGACCTAGATTGATACCTGTAAATCAATAGTGTACGGTAGGTTTCACGCCTTAGACTTTACGAATTTTGACAAATTTCATGTTCATAATTTAAGAAAAACGAAAATAAACTATTAACTTTAACCATCTGTATCTTCGTTATTATTAACAATTAGACTAAGATAAATTGGGTTAAATCGTAATAATTTAACGTAAGGAATTCACCGTTACCCTGTGTCGCATTACTAAAGAATCAGCCTGTATATTGATGTATTTACGCTTGAAATAAAAAAAATCTCGATGTTTCTAGAGAGTAGTTAATAGAGAAGAATAAGTAAAAGTTTTAGTTTTTGAAATATCTTGAAAATGAATTAAAACTAGCACTATCACTACAACTAGAATCTTTTGAGTTAAACCGTGCGTCTTTTGAAAAAGTGTTTGACGTTTCGGATGCCATGTTGACGATGAAAATTATTTATTTATATATGGTATCGGTGCTACATATGTTTCGAGATAATTTATCTCGTCATCAGGCACGACGTCAAGAATTTACTACAAACAGATCTCGATAGTATCATCATTCAAGTGGAAAGTCTTTTTTTTTAAGTTTTTTAAGAGGGATGTTATCAAAATTGTTTCTTCGAAAAATATTGTTGAAGTTATGAAATCAAAAACTACCATATTTAAAAAATATACAGCTTTGTTCAAATAATGCTTAAGAAACCATATTAAATTGTTAAATTAAAAAGTAAAACTCAACAAAAGGTTGGAAGCACTCACAACTCAATGTGTATGTAAGTGTTAGTTCAATTAACACTGGCCGTGAAAGCCTTCGCAATTATATCTTGAAAATTGTCGAAGATATGACTGCTTTTACGCTGCAGAAACGAGGCTTTAGTTCTTTATTCGGAAACATAAAACTGCAGAAAACACAGCAGAGTTCGTCAATCGGCTTATTGAACATGATGAACACTCTATCGAAAACCACCCCGGATCCGCTGACAAAATGGAAGAGGATGTAATAGTTGAAATGTTCCAACGATCCACATAAAGTGAAATACACTACCTACATTGGTGATGACGATAGCTAAACATATAAAATCGTTGTAGCTGCAAACACATATGGATATAGTGTGTAGGAGGATATAGTAATAAGAAAAAAAAAGAATGCATTGGGCACGTTGAAAAATGGATAGATAATCTCGTATCCACGCAACGTGAAAAAAAAAACAAAAAGGTATTAGTTGAAAAGATGTATTAAAACTCACTGCAGAAGTGATCAGTGACTTCCTGGTAAAGATTGCTGGTGTAAATGGCACCAAGCAGAAGTGAATAATACTTTAGATAGGACTGACTTGGAAATCACATATTAGTTGCAAAATCAAAAAAGCAATAATTGTACTGATCCAGTGTTGAAGGGCAATCGGGAATACTTGAGAATTAAATCCGAGAGTTACAATGTGGATCTACACTTCTGGGATAAGACCCATGATAGCTCACGGAGCCAGTTTGGTGCTCAGCACTAAAACATGCATATAGGGCTAAATTGCTGCATCAATGGCAACCATTGGCCTGCCTGTTAATTATGGGCGCCATGAGATCGCGATGAAGACTATGCTGAAGGTGCTGCCACTAGATATTTTTATTAGGGAGGTGGCCATGATGGCGTTGCTTCGATTTCGATCAGTGGACAACAAGCAGGTTGTAAAAATGGGAACAGTCCAAAGCGAGCCCTGCAGCGAGATTGTTCGTAAACAACCCCTCCTTGAAGCTCGCACAGGCTATATCACATCTACTTTCTTAAGCAAGACACACTTTAGCATTGAAATGATATCCCACAGCAACCTAACCTCGGGTAAAACGCTGTCCATCTACACTGGTAGATTAAAGAAGATTGGAGGCTCCGGAGCGGGAATTTTCTCGCACGATCTCCAGCTGCACCTTTCCATTTCGCTTAAGTCGTACTGCACGATTGCTCACGCCGAAATAACTGGTATAAAGATAGCAGCCAATGTGATCATCGACTCCAAAAAGGTTGGCAGAAACGTTGTAATCTGCACTGATAGCAGACAGGCTTTGCTGGCGCTTAGTAGGCATCGAACTACATCATCGTTAGTGAACTCCTGTCGGCAATCACTTGAACAGGGTAATGTTTATTATAACGTCACGATAAAGTGGCGAAAAGGACATATCGGAATTAAGGAACACGATCATGCGGACAGGTTGACGAGACGGGCGGCTAACAAGTCACCGGTCTCCCCTGAACTGTTTGTACCGCTAGCTTTTAATACTGCATCAAAGCTGATCAACTCCATCTCCCATCGAGCTTTTTGCGATAGATGGAATGAGACAGCAGTAGGTGCCTTTGCAAAGAAAACTGCTCTACCCTGACCGGAAGAGATCGACTCAGTTCCTAGGAAAATCAAAAAGTGACTTGGGGCTCCTCACCCACTTCCTGACTCTACACTGCAGGTTACGTGATCCCTCTGTAGAGGGTGTGAAATGGAAGACGAGCCGGTAAATCATATTGTTTGTGACGTACCTTTCTGTTCTATATATAACGTTCATTAAAACATTGGGCTGGTTTTTTCTGACCTTTGAATGAATTTATTAATTGTAGGGATGTACAAAGGGCCCGTTGGGGTATAAATGCTGTAAAAGAGTTCACCTCCATGTGAAACTACATACATACATTAGACAGTTTTAAGTAGAAAAGATCACCACTTTCTGCAGAAGTTCAAAAAGCTATTAAACCTATTTACCAAGATGTAACATCAGAGGATTTATTAGAATGGTATTTAGGAAGAAACACCCAGAATAGCAATTTATTATTCTGGCCTAAAGATAGTTCGGTTTGCGACGTATCTAGCATTTTAATGAAGGCTTTGGGTATCAATATTTTTGTTCCGTTCCGAATGGCGAGCATCAGATGCCACTAAACAGACAAGAACAGAAAAGAAGAAATTAGATGTAGAAGACCCTGGAATTTCTGACTAAAGGTAAATCACAATTTTTCATTTTATCACATTAATAACAGTATTTAAATTTTAAAGATGTTTTAATTTTTTTTCAAATGTGTTAGTTCAAGCTAGAATCAATACATCAGTGTAATAATCGTTTAATAAATTATTAAAAAATGTTGTTTCTGTTTGAAATATTTTTGAAAGCTATGTACCTCAAATATGAGTTGAAAAATATAAAAAGATAACTCTTGTAAAACAATTTCTTTACAGCTAAAAAAATTCGTGAAAATGATCTCCAAACGTAAATATAATAATATGAGCTGTATAGAATATTGAGTCACATGAAAAATGTCCAGTTGCAGGAAAATTTTAATCAATTTTAAATGTTGCTAAATGTCAAGTCATGAATTTGGCATGTGTGTATAAAATTAACGTCAACTATGATGTGTTAAATAAGCAATTTTAAACATACTTATAGGATACTTCATGGAACTATCAGAGGCTTATGAAATACATTAATTATGAATAATTTTAACAGAATATCTCTCAATGGTCAATCACAATAAGTAATAATGTTAACATAAATAATTAAAAATACTAGAGCATAATTAAAAATAAAGTATTAAAACAATTAACTGAATAGATGAGGGAAAAACGCTCATCAATAGATGGTAGGTAATTAATTAAGAAAGGACAGTTTTAAAATAGTGTTAAATTTTTTCAGAATGTTTATAATAATTACAAAGGCTTACACAACATTCGATTAATTCCTGTCAATTAATTGTATGATAAAGCTATAGTTCGTTTTTTTCTATAATACTTGTCAATGTAAATTTTTTAGGGTTTCTGTTGGTATTATCTACGACCCTTGTAAAATATATGTTGTTTTCCTGATTTTTAGTAACATTTTCAGTAACTAAATAGTTGAGGTTAAAATACCAATAAATTTTTAGATAAATACGATTATAACGAAGTACATATTTGTTGTAAAAACGTGTTACAAAGTAATTAAATAGAACAAAACACTTTTTCTAGGTAAATAAATGGCAAATAAACACCCCACAACATTTTTTATGCACCTTTTCTTTTTGAATAACGAAACTCAAACGTCAGTGTGACATATTTATTTCAAAACATGATAAAACAAAACTCACTGTTAATTTTGCCAACTTTACAACGATTTCACAGGTATTATAGAAAAAAAAAATGAACTGTATATGTGATCACTGATCAGATAAAGTACCACTTCTGTTTGCATGATCTAATTGAAATTTGATATCTGAATATTTTTCGTAATTATAAGCACACATTCAACATACTAATCAATAGTTATATATAATTTCAAACGAAAGTGTATATGATAAAGGTTTGATGTATTTAGGTTAAGTTTCAATTTGTAAATTGAAGCCTCTTATCGCTGATTTGACTATCATTGCATAAATAGCGTCTCTTTTATAGTCTTGATATGATAATATAAAATATTCAGTTTTGTACAAAAAATACTGATTGACTAAATTAACCAAATTGTATTGTATAGGAAAATATTTGGCTTTATACCTGTAACATTTGATTCATTTAAAAACTCAAAATAATTGTGAAAGGAATTAGTATACATTTTAGTTTCTACCAAATAATTAATTCTTACCTATCTTCAGCATCTCTATCACGATAATCCCTTTCTCTGTCTCTTTCACGATCTCCTCCACGACTTCTGGACCTTTCTCTGTCTCTTTCCCTTTCCCTATAGCTGTCAGCATAATATCTATCCCTGTCCCTATCGCGATCCCTCTCTCTATCGCGACTTCTTTCTCTGTATCTAGAAGGGGATCGATCTCGTCGTCCTCTTCGATGTCGATCTCTGGATCTCGATCTATCCCTCCTTCCAGAACTGTAACTCTTATCCTCAACACCTCTGAGTGTGTCTTGTAACGAACTAATTAAGATTTTACATCTGTCATCGTTCGCTACTTTTGACTGTTTAATCAGGGAAATTGCTGTCACTAGAGTTTCTATTGCGCTTGCATATTCACCAGCGGCGGCATCTGAGACAGCTCTTGCGATTGCTGAGCTTGAAACCGTTCGATTTCTAGACATGATATCCTCAAATTCCTGTTCGGAAATTTGTGGGTGATCGTTAATCGGTCCTGGATACGATTGCGTCATATTCGGAGGCATGTTATAACCGTGTGGCATCGAATTGGGGCCCATCGGAGGTCCCTGGGCCATTCCCGGTCCCGATTGCATGCCATGGTGATGGTGGTGATGGTTCAATTGAGGCGGTGGGGGTCCGCCGCCGCCACCTCCGCCGCCCTGTTGCTGCTGCTGTTGGAAGAAGGCTGGGTTTACGTGGGGCGCGGGGGGACCCTGCGGCGGATGGCCTTGTGGTGGCCCTTGGGGCGGACCGGGCGGTCCACGCGGTCCGCCCATTCCGGGCGGCGGACCGCCCTGGCCCACCGGATGATGGCCGGGTGGGCCCCCGCCTTGCGGTGGAAAACCGGGTTGCATCGGGGGCGGGCGCGGGTTCCAATCAGGTCGCGGCGGTCCACCCGGACCGGGCGGCCCGCCACCACCTGGTGGTCCCTGACCTGGCATACCCCTCGGTGGACCCTGTACTTGTGGCGGCCCTTGAAACTGCTAAGTTGAAGATGAACGAATAAAGAGAAAAAATTACCGAAACGCGAATTAACCTAATTTTTAAATCATTTCAAATTATTTATTTTTTCACTTACCATAGGTGGTCTAGGATGTCCAGGACCTTGCCCAGGTCCTGGTGGTGGTAAAGGTCCTCTCATTTGTTGTGGTGGCATAGGTCCCATATTAGGTCTGGGTGGTCCATTCCATTGAGGTTGTTGGAAACGCATTTGTTGACCACCCGGACCCATTTGAGGGGGTCCATTAAATGGTGGGGGAGGTGGAGGCCCACCTTGCATACGAGGAGGAGGTGGAGGACCGTTAGGGCCTACAGACATACCAACAACAGCATTCATGGGGCCTCCGTGGCGCATTGGAGAGTTCATTTGCATACGGGGTTGGAAATTCTGATGGTGGTGGTGATGAGGACCTGAAGGAATAGGATGGTTAGCTTGCCCGGGATGTTGACCGCGTGAGTTGGCGTTATTTGGAGGATTAGGGCGAGTTTTTGACTGACTTTCAAAGTTACTGAGAGCCTGTTTCGTAGGAAGGGTTACAATAGGAGCTTGCCCATGAATCGTAGTTTTTGGTAGACGATCCAAACATAACCTCATACTTGTTTCCGAACCCATCGAAATGACGCAAAACCCTTTTGATTGACCATTTGCGCGATGTTCAAAAAATTTTACTTCGTGAAAGTCATTTACACCAGCATCATGAACTGCATTTGCAATGTCTTGATCGGTTGTCCACTATATCATTTCAATGGAAGTTAATAATCTTATCGGTAATGTGAGATCCTTATTTAATGACTCACCCAAGTTAAATTACCAACGTAAAGTTGATGTCTTCTTCCTAAAGTTCCTGTTGATACATTATTCCCAGCTGGTGGGTATGTGGCCCCATTTGTCTCTTCTGCATTTGAATTATTTGCTGGAGGCGGCGCAGCTTCAGCCGCATCTCCACTTGGGCCACCTCCAGTAGCTGGAGTTGAAATAACATCATCATAGAGATCAACGTTATCACCTCCAAAATCGTCCTTAAAATCAAAAAAGGAATTAGTTTTACCAATAAATATTAATATTGGTTGAATATAACATTTAAAACGTCTTAATTTTGTTAGAAAAATGATGAGGTTTAGGTACCTTAAGGCGGTTAATGGTGAATTCGTTTTAGGAGCTAAAGAATTAGATGAACTGGTAAAAGAAGGTTAATTAACTTAAAGCGTACTTACCTGTGCGAAATCTTCTATATCATCAGCGTATAAATCCAAATCGTTCTCCGCCATTGTCCCAATACAAGAAGTAAAGCGACAACAACGTGATGGCGTCAGCTATGAAGTTAGGTTATTAAGAAAGAATGCCGGTGCCAACTTAAGATAATAAATTTTACTAAACGATAACAACAAAATTACTGAATTTATTATTTTATGTAATTATTTGAATTAAAAATAATACATTTTTAGAGTTTAATTATTATTAATGATTTAAAATCATTCTTTTATTAATTAAAACATTATTAACATTATAATGATATCAAAATTTATTATTAGTAGTTCAATAAAATTATACTACAATCTAACGTTGAAAAACAATTAAAATTAGAGCTAACACTAGCACTAGAGCTAAAACTAGTAACATTAGGGTTTAGCCGTCTTAAAAGACGCATGGTTAAACACGAATGTTTCTAGTTCTAGATCTGGTGTTAGGGTGTTAGTTCTACTTCATCAAGTGTTTGCCTCCTCATGGCACAATTGGATGTGTGGCTTCCACTACCCTTATGGAGTAAGGGAATTCACTAACTAAATGACACTCCAACGGTCCTGTCCAACCTATCGCATTGTGGCTAAGGACTTGCACGGAATTGTTATTATTATTATTATATTATGTGCTGAGTTCCAGCACGGGGGATTTGGCTTAACCACTTGGATCGAGAGGAAATAACCTAATCAAAAACCTCAAAGTCAAGGTGGAACGGCTTATGCTGAAGACTTTTATCGCTTTACAGCGTTAGCTAAAAGGGTAATATTTGGTTCCTAATAAACGGACTCTGGGAACCTCCCGTTTCAATAAAATCCCCTTGCTGCGGCATGCAGAGCTCTACCGTGGGCATTAAAACATTATGATCCTGGATATAGCCAAAGGGCATGGTAACCGGTCACCTTCCTATATTCATAGTCATAAAGTTATACCATAAGATGGGACTACTTGGCCACCCCGGGGCTACATGGACACAACGCATCCGTGTTCACTCCTGTGTCACGAAAGCGAGGTTAGATTATGTTTTTGTTTTCTAAAGGAAGTCACTGATTAAAAATGGAGCGCATGTAACACAAACCTCCAGGATCAAAATCCTACATGAATTACAAAGTAAAAGATTTGGAAAAGGCAAGGAGAAAAGCCGCAGAAAAGTTCAAGTGCCTCTGACAGCATTAGTACGGAAGATGCTTGAAAGGAATTTAAGACCCGTTGGACATCCAATTGTTTTAAGTCTGAGAAGCTGTTGATTTCTGAAACTTTGCCTGTTGTTGCGAATTAGGGGTTCCTCTTGACAAAGGCCGACATTTGAGATGTGGTGAAAAAATACCTAGATAAACAAGGGAGGCAGGTCAAGGTCTTCAAGAACAACAGTCCAGGTCCAGATTCCATCGATTCTCTTATCGCTAGAAACAACCTGTTTATCAGAATAGATCATCAAGCGATCCAGGTCGTCAGTCAACCGCGACGACACATTTTTTAACAACGCTAACCTTGCGCTTTCTTCAGTGAAAAGTGTAAACCTATATAATTATGATGTGTCCAAGAAGCCCCAACAACGGGGTTATTCGGACATCACTTTTTTGTATATTTGTTGTTGTTTGTATAAGGTATTTTCAATGTTTTATGATAGCCAAGGGCGTCGCCAGAGAGGGGCAGAGGGGGGCCACTGCCCCCCCTCGAGGTAGATTCGAAAAAAAAATTAAAATACAATAAATATACATCTCGAGTACTGAACAACTATCGAATGGGATGCCATATTTTGATCTGGAAACCAAGGAAGTTCAAGAAGAATTCCTCGGATTCGTCAAACTTGATGCTTTGGATGCGAAATGTATTGCAAAAGCAATAGATGAGTTTTCGGCAGAAGAAGATCTTGATCCGGACAAATGTGTTGGTTTAGGATTTGACGGTTGTTCGACGATGTCCGGGAAAGAAGATGGTGTGCAAGCAATCCTACGCAGAAAATATAAAAAAGCTTTGTGCTTTCATCAAAGGAAGGTACCATCAAAGATATTATTAAATTTTTTCAAGAATCAGTTTTGAGACGCAAATTGATACCAAATATTTCCAAGCTTTGCGAAACAAGGTGGCGCGAGAAACACAAAAATATTAGTGCTTTTAATGAGAATTTTCCTATTATAATGGAGGCCTTTGAAACCTCGTCACGGGAAGAAAATAAGAATAAATAACGCGACTAAAAAAAATAATTATCAGCTCCATGCAGCAGCTTCTAGAGTTTCGTTTATTCTCAGCTTTATTTTGATAGCCAAATACTCGGCTATGATGGCACCTGTGGTAAACTTGCTCCAATCCGTAGCTTTGAATGCAGTTAAGGCATCCCAGCACATTAGCTGCCTTTTGGAATTTATAAAAAACCACCGTAGCGGTCCAAAAACGTCACAAATGGAATTATTAGGGACGCTACTATCGTTGCAGAAAAACTTGGACTGGGAGAAGACATGAAATCCTTGCCCCGTATTGTTGAGAGACAACAACATCAGAACAATCACCCAGCAGCAAGTCCCTCAGAATTCTGGCGGAGGTCTTTAATAATACCATACTTAGACTCGATTATTAATTCTTTTGAAGTTCGCTTTTCTGAAGAAAACACCCCGTCATTTTCCTTATGTAAATTACACCCAGCTCAAATGTTAGACATGTCCCTTGAAGACCTCGTAGAAGCTGGTGAAGTCTTTTCCCAATTTTACAATTTATCAAATATCAACAACGAAATCGAACTATGGAAAAAAACTATGGCAAGATAAACCTGACTCAAAAGAATTAAGTGTTGTGGATGTCATAAAAGATGCCGACATTTTTTTCCCTGAAACGAGAAAAGCCTTTATAATTTTGGTCACTTTACCCTGCACGACATATACTGTTGAACGATCTTTTAGCAGCTTGAGGACAATAAAACCTGGCTTAGAAGCACTATGGCAGAATGTCGTCTCAATGGTCTTCCCATGATGAATGTGTATAGGAAGCATATTTGTGAAAACTTTGAGGGTTTTATTGATAATCTGGTTGACCAATTCGCGAAGAAGCCACGACAATTATGTTTTAAATAAATTGGTGTTATTTTTCAATTTTTTTGTCGTGCGCCCCCGTGGCCCACTGGCTGGCGACACCCTTGATGACAGCTCTATAATTCTGAAGGTTAGGTTGGTATGATGAACAAGTTTCTGTTGCCCTAACTTTATTTCTTCACTTTTAATCTTGAAAAATGCGCAAAAAACGTGTCTAAGTAACCCCATTTTACGGTACCGATGGCCAGATTAAGGGTCACAATGTTTTAAATATTGCTGCAATTATTTTGCATTCATATTTTTATTCTTTTGCAAAGAATATCAGTCATTTAATTTTTTTTAATATACATTAAAGATTGCGATATAAGAATCTTTTTTATTAAAAATATTGGAATAGTAACACAATAACAATTATTATGTTATTTTAGTCGAATAAACTCTTGCTGTGGTTGTGGCTCAATTAAGAATACTCATACTACTTGTTTGTCCTTCACTGTAGTAATGTTATACTTAAAACTGGAGACTCGGAAAATAATATGACCTTGTTGAAGCACAGCGAAACGTAACTCGAGTATAAAAAGGTGCATTAATGTGCTGTGCCCAGTGTTGTTGAATACCCGGGTATTTATTTTCAAGGGAAAATTCCCTGGATATATACCCGGGGGTATTTACCCTAGATGGGTATTTAGAGGTATTTATACAATTTAATTTAAATTGAGTTGATGTCAGTTTTGCAAGCATTTCAAGAATGCAGAGTCGATTATCGATACACCAAACTTATTTATAACATCTACAAGAGTACTACAATGACGGTAAAATTGCATGAAAGTACTGATCGAATACCCATTGGGCATGGGGTATGACAAGGCGATACAATGTCCCCCAAATTATTCATCATAGTCCTGAAGAATGCATTTAAATAACTGGATTGGACCCACAAAGGCATAAACATTGATGGCAAATACCTAAGTAATTTGCGCTACGCGGACGATGTTGCTGAACGACTTACAGGAGGTGTGTGCAAAAGTCGGGCTAAACATCAACGTTTAGAAATCAAAATTTATGACAAATAATAATAATAATAAAGATGTTTATTGATCAGATAAGAAACAAAATAAAACAAAGAGTAATACAAAGACAAATAAAATTAAGAAATTAATGAGATGTGTCTAAATCTGATTAAAGAGGGTCATGTCAGGTCGACCAAGAGCAATAGTCTCCTGATCAATCTGTTTTTCAAAGACGCTCATTTTGAATACAACAACAAAATCAAAAAGGTACAACCGAACGATTCAAGTCAATAAAAGAAAAACCAAAGCGACATGACTGTTCAACGGAAATAACTAAATTAAATAAAAAAAAATATTTTCTTTCCTGTCCTCTTCAAAAATAATAATAATAACAAACTAAAATCTATCATTCAACAGCTTACTCAAAAACACCTTAACTTTGCTCTTGAAGAAAATCAGACCAAGACCTTTGAATAAATCAGGTAGCAAGTTATACAAGTTAGGCATACAGTAAGAAAAACTACGTTTAAATAGTTCTGAGCGGTGGAGAGGTATCGTCAGTGTATGTTTATGCCTAACATTAATATTGTGTATGTCCGTGCGAAATTTAATCTTGTTATACAGGTAAGGCGGTTTCTTGAACAGGATAATTTTATGGTAGAGACACAAACAGTGTAGAGTTCTACGTCGCGTCATATTCAGCCATCCAATTTCCAGCAAATCTTGTTCCCAGCTCTAACATCAACAGCTCAAGTGGAACTGGCGAGTCATGACACGCGAATGAAGAATGAGCAGTGGACAAAACGGCTGCTTGGGTGGAGACCGCGAGCAGACAGATAAAATAGAGAAAAACTGCCTACACGCTGGACGGACGACGTCAAAAGAATGACCAACAATTGGATTCAGACAGCACAGGGTAGAAACGAATGGAACAGAATAGCCTATGTCCATCAATGGACGCAGAGGATTGCTTGATAATAAAATTACAAGTACAAAGATCACTAAAAAAATTCATACAAATAAAACAATAAACGCTAAATAATTT